TTGACCACTCCCTAGTCTCCTGGAATCCTACAACAGGGGAGAATGATGATGTAAAAGGCAAAGGTCACACCAACCAAGTGACAGATATGGTGCTAGATGGTGACTACTTGGTGTCTGTTGCCATGGATGACACCATCAGGTTTACTCCCACTTCAGGCCTAGCATACAGGTTGGTCTACTCTTTTCTTTAAATATATTTCTTACAAAAAATGCTTTGATGTAACTGCACTTAGTTTGGAAAAATGCTCCTCAAGCTTTCTGGTTTGACTTGTTTTTCTTAAGTTGATTTAAGCTTGATAGATGTTTAGATTACAAAACATGAGCTATCTGTGTTTTCAGGTGGAGTGGGGGTAGTGGTTTATGTAACTTAATAAAACCCCAGAATAGCTTAATGTCAGAAGAGCAAGAACGAAAATTAAGTCCTAAGAAAACACAAGCTTAAACCTTTCGTCCAGTTATTGTTAAAACGTTTGAGTTGTTAATGGACCAGAGAAATTACATTTATTTTTAGCACATGATATTTTACTGGCTTATATCAGACTAAAACTTCATAGAAAAAATAAAATTTTAATCAAATATCTTTCTTTTTTTTTTCTCCCCACTTTAAGAAAGATCAAAGATGTTTGAGCCGATTAAATTACTGAGCATGCATTCAATGAAAGTGTAAGAGTAAATTGTTGTTAATATTCCCTCTAGCAATGACACTTTGAAACTGGAATCCCAACCCCGCTCTGTAGACAGCAAGAATGGTGTTGCTGTTGTTGCCTGCCTTCATCATGTAAGTATTTTAAATTTACCAAAGAGGTTGCTACTTTTTTTTTTTTTTTTTAACTTTTTAAATAGTCTTAGTGTGTTTGGGTTAAGATAGTCTTAGTGGGTTTGGGTTAAGATAGTCTTAGTGTGTTTGGGTTAAGATAGTCTTAGTGTGTTTGGGTTAAGATAGTCTTAGTGTGTTTGGGTTAAGATAGTCTTAGTGTGTTTGGGTTAAGATAGTCTTAGTGTGTTTGGGTTAAGATAGTCTTAGTGTGTTTGGGTTAAGATAGTCTTAGTGTGTTTGGGTTA